TTATAAGCCAGTCAAAGCCCCCCACATTCAAGGGAGGGGGGCACAGATGCCCCGGCCCCTTGATGGGAGGAATGTTAAGGCTAATTGTAATGGGACTCACAGGGTGGGGGATACTGTGCTGGTGCTGGTCATCTTTGGGGACACAGTGGACACCCCACTTACCAGCTTTCTTTCCCACTCCATACCAGCCGCCGTCCAGCTGCACAGATAGTCTTGGCTGGGCCTCTCCAGAGCCTTCTTCCCTTCCTGACTGCTGGGGGCAGGTCTTCAACAGGCCTGCTGGTGAGCTGGGCCCCACGGCCCCTCTGCCTTTCTCACTGTGGCTGGGCTGACAAGGCACATTCAGGGCGAAGTGGAGCTCAGAGGCTACTTGGTTTAGTGGAGGATTCCAGACTCCCTGGGCCTGACCGCCTCCCTCAGTATTCCGTGGTCATTTGGCCATTCGTGTGGCTTTGGGTCTGTGCTTCTCGGTTCTCAACCTCCAGCTCTGTAAAGAACAGCGCCAGGGAGAGCCTCGCCCTGGAGCCAAGCAGCCTGGGGCCCCAAGAAACCCCAGAGGCCCAGAGGCCCCTTTGCGGCTGTGGTCCGGGGTCTTGGGACAGAACCCTTGGCCATGCCGTGCCCTGTTTGTGTAAAGGGGCAGGTTGTCCTGTGGGACACAGTGTCTGTGGGGCTGAGATCGTGAACTGCACACATCCTCCCTGTGGCCTCTGATGCCTGAGTGGCTCTGGAATGTCCAGCTGAGAACAGGGCGAGGATTAGTGGGTCCAAGCTGGGAGGACCGAGGAGCCTTCGCGGTTCCGGAAGCTACTTGGTAGCCGCAGAGACTCTTATAGGGAAAGTTTGCTATAGATTCCCACACTCCCTGCACTCTTGTGCGTCCTCCCACTGGGCCACTGCCCTCAGACCCCACCACCCTCAGCATGGACATGAACCCTACTCGGGCTGCACCTGGCATGGGGCCACACGCCAGAGAAGAGAGCATGGGTGCACACAGCATGCACACACATCACACCACACACATGCCCATACAGCACATCACACATGTGCGAACACACACACACACACACACACACACACACACACACACACACAGAAAAGACTCTTCACAAGCCTGTGGCATATGCAGAAAAGCTAAGTGACAGTCTTAAATATTTCTGTTACACAAGGAATGGAAGACATCGATTAGAAAGTTCCCAGAAGTCCCCAGAAATAAATCAGCTGCCCCCTGCAGCCGGCCCCCCAGGCACCCTGCCGCTCCTTTGGGCCTCTGCCTGCCCCAGCAGCTTGGGTGTCTGTGTTTACAAATGTCCACACGCAGCCACAAGGGTTCCTTCTTCCCCAGATGTGATCACACTTGGGAATACTCGGTAAAGTAAACTCATCAAGCCCACAAACTCTTCTCGGAGGGCCAGGAGCCCAGGGGTATCCGTTCTAGGCCGACAGGCAGGAGGGCAGGGGCGGGGCCTCCTGGAGTGGGGCGCCCCCTGGTGGCGGGTGAAGGAACTGCTCCTGAGAACCTGGTGAAATTTCGGGGTTGGGGGTGGGGGATTGAGGTTGTGGCCAGGCGGAATGGGGGTGGAGAGGCCCCATCAACTCCCCTCTTCCCCTGGGTTCCAAGGAAAGAGAAGAACTCTTATAGTTTGAGAAACAATATTTCTTTTTGGCCAAGCCCCCAGCCGAAGGCCACCATGGCTGAGTCCTTTCTCCACTGTGGGACAGGCAGGGCCCAGCCCTTGGTCCTAACCCAAGGTGCCACCATCACTGTCTGGAGCCAATGATGGCTGGGCGGACTGGCATTATGAGAGGAGCCACACTGAGGAGCGCCACATTTGCTGGGGGTGCTGAGGAAGCCTCTGCACCCCAACCTGCACATTCCCCTGGCTCAGGGGCCTGTCTCCCTTTAACACAGGCCCCCCAGCCCAGCCCCTGACCTTGACACAATCCTTCCCTGAGTACCACGGGGGGATGAGGGTGGGAATGTCCCACCTTGATTTTGTCCACAGCCAGCCCTGCTTTGCGCAATAGGAATTCCTCTCTAGGGCCTTGCTGCCGGAGAACGGGGCCCTCAGCGCAGGTCCCTGTGACAAGGACAGCCATGTGCAGGAGCTGAAGAGGAGCATGCACATGGCGACCCCTCTGGGGGCAGTCCCCTCCCTGGACTGAGCAGAGGTGCACAGGAGGACGGGCTCTCCCATGGGCCCGACAGCCCTTGTCTCAGATTGTGCCGACGTGAGGGAAGGTGGGCGTGTGTGTGTGTGCGTGAGTGTGGGTGACACGGGTCTTCAGCTCTGTCTGTGAATGTCACCCAAGAAGCATCAACAGGAAAGGCTCAAAGGCCTGTGGCTGGCACCTGGCCAATGCTGGAAACCAGGGGGCAGCTGCACACCTCCCCAAGCCCTGGTCCTCAGGTGGGGGGAGGGAGGCCTACTGACCCAGAAGAGTGGGAACACTAGTGACGGCCCTGAGGGCGACATGGACCATGGAAGGCACAGTGGAAATTTATTTCACATGTGTGCCTGTTCTTACTGCTGTTTCCTTTTTTGAAGTATGTGTTTCTTAATGTTTCTATCGTCTTCTTACACTAATGCATCAGCTTTCATTTATTGTTAAGTGTGCTATACCTGAACTCAGTTCTCAGGTGAAGGTGTTAGTAAAAGTCTCCCTGACATTTCAGAAAAAAACAGGAGTTTATTTTGAAAATGGCTATTTCACAGGAACAGAATCTCTGGTTTCCTGAGTGATTCTCAGGATTTCTGCGTACCCCTGGGTGCCCTTCCTGGGAGAGGGGAAGAGTGGTCATGATTAGGGAGTACAGCGGGGGAGTCACAGCTCTGGTTCAGGGGTTAGGCTGGGGCTGTCACATACATGGTTGCTCTGGGTCCCACACCAATCCTAAGAATTGTAAGAATTTTCATTGCCATTTCACGGAGGAGAAACCAACCAGGGTCACAGAGGAGATGGAACTTGTCAGGGTCAAGGGTTTAAACTTGCAGGACATCAAAGCTGGCCTTTGGGTGACCAGGATGCAACTCTGGGCCCCTTTGTTCCAAGGCTGTTCCAGGGAACATAACTACAGTCATGCACTGTTTAATGACGGGGACATGGACACGGTCTGAGAAATGTCCCCAGGCGATTTCGTCATTGTGAGAACATCACCAAGTACACTTACACAAACCCAGATGGAACAGCTGACCGCACACGCGGTTCCTGGGCTCCAAGCCTGTACAGCAGGTTACTGTACCGAATACTGTGGGCCGAGGCACGTCGTTCCCAGGGTTCAGGGGTTCAAGTCCTTCCTATCCTGCTTTACCTTCATAAAAGGCCTGTTTACAATTCAAGCAGTGCTGAGATGAAGGTATGAAGTGACAACGACGGGGCTACGCTTGCACACCAGCCGTCCATTCTCCTCCCAGGGGCATCCAACCTCTACCACAACCTTGGGCACCCTTTGGGGTACTTCCTCTGTGCGTGCAAGTCATGTTTTTACACACCACACTGCAAATTGCTTTTCAGAAAAACAATGCATTTATTATACCTTGGAGAACATTTCAGACCAGCCCACTAGCACGGCCCCCTTCTCTGAAGGCCTCAGAGTGTGGCGCTGTAGGATGTACAAGCATCGAATGACTTCCCTCCCGATAGAGATTTAGGTTGTCTCCTTGTTTGGGGTCATTATAAGTGACAAAGCAGTGACATCCTCTTTCTGTGTCTTTGGGCATTTTGACAGATATTTCAGGATCAAATACTTAGGGGGAACTGCTAGGTCAAACGATATATGCCTTGGAAATTTCGATGGGTGCAGTCAGAACGCCCTTCAAGGGGTGGCCCCAATGTAGATGACCTCCTGTTTAGTCCATCTTTCATTCAGCAGTCAAAGCGATTTTTAAAGGCAATCAGATTGCCTAATACCCCTATTTGAAACTGTCAGAAGTATAGAGACCCATGTGTATGAGGCCATGCCTAGCTGGCCCTGAGCTTGGGCTTCTGAACAACACTCCAGCCACACCAGGCTTTCCTTGGTCCCTCCAACACAGCAGCTCCTTCCTACCACAGGGCCTTTGCACTTGTGGGTCCTTCAGGTCTCCACATGCCTCCTTCTCTTCACCTGTCCTCAGGTGGCACCTCCTCCTGCAGGCCTTGCCCAGCCTCAGTTCAATGCAGCAGCCCCTTTTGCATTAGCTCCCAATGTCCTGACTTTATGGTCTCCTAGCACGATGATCTCATTTGTATGTTCACTGTCACCTTCCTCCACTAGAACGGGGCTCCTAAAAGCAGAGATTCTTGTCTGTTATGTTATCAGCATCCAGGGACAGTGCCTGACACTTAGTAGGTGCTCAAGAAATACTTGCTGACCAATTTAATCCTTGCCAGCCTGAGGGTAGTAAATGGTAACTTACTGCTGTTTTCATGACTCCTTCCTTCCTGTGGGGTGAGGCTGAGCATGGATTGTGTGCTGGGCCTGTATTTGGGGAGTCAGTTGCTTGCTCATGTCTACTTTTTCTCCTTTTGGGTTTTCTTTCTCATTGACAGGCACCAACTCTTTGTATACAAGATACATGAGCTATTGGTCTCTCATCTGTTGCAAATATTTTTTTTCCCAGTTGACTGTGTGATAATTTTTCCATTTAAGTTTCTAATTTTTATATAGTCAAGTTCATTAACCATTTCCTGTGTGGTTTGTAACTTTCATGAAGACGTTCCCTAAGCTGGCTTGGTGAGGCCACAGCCTTTCTTCACAGCCGTGCGGGCCTGGGGGGTGAGGGACAGGAAGAGCCAGGTGAAAAGGTGAGCTGGGACTGGATCATGGGGGCCCTATCGACAGAGCAGTCTGACGGCAGGTGATGTGGAGAGCAGATTTGGGGCAGGGGAGGAAAAGGATCCTGTTTGTCTTTGGGGGTTCACTGGGTAGCTGTGGGGTGCTGGGATGAGAGGAGGAGGAGAGGTGTGATTAGCAAGGCCCTGATGAGGGACCAGGGCAGGGGAGTGGCGGTGAAGTGGGCAGGAGGCACAGACCCTCAGCCCCCTTAGGACTCAGCGCCCAGGCCAGTATGAAGAAGCGGGAAGACTGAGAGAGCAGCTGTGTCTGTCCGTGGATGCTGCTGTGGGGCACCCCGCATGGGGCCGCCCGTTCCGCCCCGGGCAGTCAGTGGGTCTGGGTGGGACAGAGCCTGCGCTGTTATTCCAAGGCCATGATTTCATTCTTGAGAGTCTGTTTATTTTCAGATAAGAAGAGTCACATTTGCTCGCACACCCCAGCAAATCTTCAGTTTGATTTTTATAATTTAATTTTAGAAAAAGGTCAACAACGTGAACGGGCGTATGATCTCCCCTTCTGGGTTGAGCAGCCCCCCTGCTCGCCCTGTGGCTATGCGTGCATGTGTGTGGGTGCCTAATTTATAAACACTCTTGAGGGGAGAGCCATAAATCTCCAGTTAATTTCACTTCCTGGATTCTGCGGCACATATGTGCAGTCGACGTTTAGCAAACACATAACTGGTGGAAGCCCATAGGATGTGGATTGCGCAACCAGAGGCCTCGCCGCTGAGATTTTAATTAATTTGTGAAAGCGATAAACAAGATTACTATGTGCAAACAAACAGGGCTTGTGCCCAGCTGCATCCAAGTTTATTTTACAAAGCTATAAACACAAGGCCCTTTCTTAAGTCCTGCTGATTGTCGCCTTCCTTTTGTCAGCAGAAGGAGAATGGAGAGGCTGAGTCAGCACTCTCAGTGCAGGGCTTTGGCTCTCCGGCTGTGTCACTTAAAGGGGCTCATTCATTCCCCAGACTGGGCAACGCTCCTCGCCAAGGGTCCTTCTGGGGGTTTCTCACACCAAGGCGGCCCCGAGTTGGGCCCCGGGAACTCAAAAGCTTGAGAAACGTGCTGAGAATCTGGGGGCCACCGGGGGAAGGGGTAGGGGGTCACGGCCCTTCTCCCTGCCTGTCCCAAATGACTTCCCAACAGAGAGAGTCTCTAGTGTCATTCCATCCCAGACCTGGGGAGGAAAATGGGCAGGCCCCGTCTGTGTGCTGGGAAGGCCCAGCCTTCCGCTACGCCCCAGCCCAGCACGGGGTCCCACTCCCCTGCTCCTGGAAGTGGATAGAGGAGGCAGGAAGAGTTCCTTTCGTCTGACCCACCGTCTTCCTTTGGGCTGTAAAAGCAGCAATGTGGGGGAAGGAAGGGGTATCCAGGTAACTCTACCCTGGAGAACCCGAGAACCCCCAAACCACTGCCAGCACTTCTTAGCAGCAAGTGGTTCACAGAAGAACTCAGTCCACCTTCTGGGTCCTCTGAGGGCTGCAGGCTGCAGGTGGAGGGGTCAGGCTACTGGCCTGGGCCAGCCAGGTCCAGGTGAGGACCATTCCACAGGAATTACCTCCTTTTTCGCGTGCAAGCCTCCAGCCGGCCCAGCTCCTCGTAGGACTGGTAGAAAATGTCAAACTCCCTGGTGCCCCAGCCCCTCCAGACAGCCAGGCACCACTCCATGTTTTCGTTTTCAAAGCTGCACACAATTGTATCCTTTGCCACCACAGCTGCGTCCACAAGCACCCTGTAGACAGAGGGGGATGTCTGAGATAGCCCACAAGGGTCTCCATGTGCTGGGGGCTGGGACCCTTGGCCTATACCTTCTCAGGAGGACAGAGTCCGGTTAAGGGGAGATCTGTGCCTCCCAACCTGGCCCCAGCCACGTGTTCTGATGCCCTGCCTCTCCCTGGTGGCCCAGCCTGTGGGCAGAGGCTTTCTAACATCTAAAGAAGGGCCAAGGGCATTGCTTTAGGTTCACAGGGATTGTCACTAAAGGCTGACTTCCTAAGAGGACGCTGATACAATCAGAGTAGGTACCTTTTGTAATGTGTCTCTGACCCCCAAAGTGTCCAGAAAATATCATCCATTTCTGCTCGTCACTGGCCCAGGGAAAATGTTCACTTAAACTCAATTCCCTTGCCTCAGCATGATTCTTTTCCCATCCTACGTTTCCACATGCTTAGGAAATTCAGGGTAATCTGTTAGGCAGGAAACCTGCGCCGAGTCCTCACCATAGCCACTTGTTTTGAGGCTGTGGCTTGTTCTGCATGGCCTGTGCATGCAGTTTCCTTCTTGGGCCCCGCTAGGCCCCCTCCTCCCGCGGTGCCAGCGCTCCTTGCCTGGCACTGAGGCCAGCATGGGAGCCAGGGTGTCTAGGGGCCCTGCAGGGCTTTGCACCTCACAGGCATTTGCTAGCTACTTGCCGATGGAATCGACGTCTCAGATTCATCTCAGAAAGCTGGTGCACTCAGGCTATGGTCTTCCTTTGGGCTGGCTGCCTGGGCCACCTTCTCCCTACAGCTAGTAAGTGTGTCTGGCTGTTGGTAAGCCTACTTTTGGGGGACAAATGGGGGAAAACACCAGGGGAAAACTGAGGGGCACGGAGTGCAGGTTCTCTGAGGTCAATAGCTCTGGGCTCTGCAGACCCATCCGTCCCCCCAAAAGCGCAATCCGCAACCTGGGAACCACCTCAGCCCAAGGCTGGCGCCCGCACTCAGCAGCAAACCCAGATGGTTTCTAGAATCACTGGAAGGGCAAGGCCGCTGGCCGTGGTGACTCACTGAGAGTCCCATTCTGGTGGCAAGGGAGGGGAACGTCCATGGATGCTTCCTTGGTCACCGTCCTGCTCTGGGGGAAACAGGCTGAATGGGGTCCCCCTCTCCATAAGGGAGATTTACTGGATGGGGTTCAGGAGACAAAGTGAGGGGTGCAAACACTGTCGGCTAGCAGGGGACTGGACTGTGGGAACACTGCTGGAGCCACCTGTCCATCTCCACAGCCACACACACAGGTCGGACAGGCTGCCCTGCACCACCCTCACGGTGGGTCTGGCCTGCCTCCTGGTAGGACTCTCCCCACTCCCTACCCCCAGCAGCAGCAGATGGGTGCCGGGCCCTGCCTGCTGCTGCCCAGGGGCACCTCGGGAAGGGCTCTCCTGCTTGGTGGGAAGGACAGTGAGTCACCTGAGTCCCCATTTCAGTTGCAGCTCAACTCAAGTCCTGGAGATGTACCCCAGGCAGGGCACTTGGTTCCCGGCACTGGGTACCTCTAGAAACAGGCGGCTGTGGCCGGTGGCTGATGCCAGGTTCAGCCAGTATCTCCTGATCTCCTAGGAGCTGCCTGGAGCGCCCCACCTTGCTCCTCCTCTGCCTTATGGCCACCTTGGTGGATGTGACGTCTATTTGTGCAGGACCGAAGGGTGGGTGGCCTCTGCGCAGGGACATGGCAGTGGGGCCTGCATTCCCCATGCCACATCCCTGGTCCTATAATAGGAGGAGTTTCCCGTCAGTCTTACCCCCACGGAGTCAGTTCTCGGGCTTTCAAGACAGCGATGATGCGGCCCCGCTGGGCACCTGCGTCCTTCTCCAGACCGATGACGAGAACATCTCCACCACGCCTGCAGAAGCAGAACCGAGAAGGGGAAGTGCTTGGTCCAGGGCTGTGCTCCCCGGGAAAATGGAACTGCCGTGCACCGAGCAGAGAGGCCTGGTACCAGGAACCTGCCCATGCTGGGCCGGAGCCCCCCGCCGTGCTGTGCAGAGGAGCTTTACGGCAGCCCTCAGATTTGCTGAAGAGACACCCCCAGATTCTAGGGCACAGGAAACAGCAGCTCCTGATGGATCTCCATAGGATCTTAAAGCTAGTGTAGTGCGCACGCGCGGGGTCGCGCCCCACTGCCCGGAAACTTACCTGGGGACCCAGATGACGTCTTTCACCGCGAGGACCTTCACGGCCTGCAGGTGCTGGCTGAAAGCCTCCCCGTCCACGGGGCTCAGCTCGTGCTCGGACCTGTCGGAGCCCGCCGCGGGCTCGCGCAGCCTGTCCGAGTCCTCGCCGTCGGTGGAGAAGGGCACGCTGGAAGAGCTTATGGGGGAGCAGGGCAGGCTTGAGGGGGACAGGAGGGACCGGTGGGGTGGGGACGAGGAGTAGGAGGACATGGAGCAGTAGTCAGTCAGAGAGTCCTGGTGGTTCAGGATCTGCGTGCCCAGCTCCTTGCTGTACATGATGCTCACGTCTGCGATGGCTTCGCGTTCGGGCTTCTGTGGGCTGGCCATGCGGCTGTCTGGGGTCTCCAGGCCCAACGGGAGCACGGGAAACATGTCCCTGAGGGGGTTGGGGTCTCCGCAGAAGTACCGGGCACACAGCTGGTAGGTGGCCGAATGGTACATCACCAAGGAGTTGGCCCTGTCGTCCAGGCCCCAGACCACCTCCTCGCCCCTGCACTCAGAGCTGCACACGAGGGACGTGACCACCGACGGGGCCGAGTAAGGCTCCAGCCGCCTGCTGATCTCCAGAGTCGCACAGTCTATGACCAGCAGGCCCGGCCCGTTGCTGTACCAGACCTCAGACCCACTGTTGACCACTTCCATGGTCCTCACGGGGTACGGGTTCTGCCGCACGTCGTCATCTGGGATGTTAAACTTGGACCTGTTGGCTGTGTGTGAGCACAGGTAGGAGCAGCTGTCCTCTGGGGCGCCCCGCACCACAGGAAACACGGCCACAAGCCCGTCAGCAAGGCCCGCCAGTACCAGGTAGGAATTCTGCTGGAAGACAGGTACACCTGACGCACTTGCGTCTCATGCATTCCAGGAGAGAAGCAGAGCCGGTGCAAAGCTCATCTCCACACAGACCCCAGGCAGGCCCGCACCCCCCACCAGCACACCCTGGAGGAGCAAGGCTTCTAAAAAGGCACGGATTGGGCCGGCCGAGTGGCACATTGGTTAAGAGCTGGCTTGGGATGCCTGAGGGCCCCGGTTCGGATCCCACATATGAGGGCCACTGACACTGCCCTCCACAGCTAAGATGCTGAACAACAGCTCAACCTGGAGCTGGGCTGCCCTGAGTCGCCGGCGATGGTGTAGGCTGCAGCCCCTGTGGCAGTGGGTTGCCATGGGCTACCGTATGTAGCCAGCAGCCAGCGTGAGCGGCCAGCTGCCACAGTGAGCGGCTGTCCAGAAGCCAATGACTGATCTGCCTCGCCCGGGAAGAGTGCAATGACGGTGCCAATTTGGGCCGGTGAAGCAACGTCCTCCACAACTAGATTGAAGAACAAAACGACAGCAACTTGTCTGTTCCCTTTCCCCCAATTCCCCAGCGCTGTTTCCATCCCCCAATTGCCCAATAAAAATCTTACAAAAAAAAAAAGGCACGGATTGCCATCTCCCCAAAGAGCTACTCCCCCAGCCCCCCATGTGAGCAGGAAAGGAACATGCAATGTGGGGAGCAGTGGGGAGCTGCCTTCTCTAGGTCACCAGGGAGTCGCTCAGGGCTGGACGTGGCTCCCTCCCTCCTGTGAACTCTGCTTGTTAACATGAGAGCAGGGCCTGGGTCTCTGGGCCCACCACTGCCCCCCAGCTCTGGCCTGGCACAGGGAAGGGCTGAGTCTAATTCATCTCTGTGACCCCACCTGGTTTTCTGCTCCCATAGACAATAAGTGCCAGCTGAACTAATTCTTGAGGAAATCGCTTTCCAATTCAACCCTCTCGTGGCGGCACTTCTTGGCCACTGCCCACACGTCTGCTTGGACATGCCTGTGGTCTAGCTGATACCGATCGTTCTTGGGGGTACGCCCCACCCCCACAGTGAAGCATGCACTCTTCTATGGCCACCAGAGGCCACTGAGCATGCTAAAGTTGCAGAGGCCAGGCTGGATGCTGGGCCCTGCCCAGGCCTCCCGGAGCCTTGCTGTCCTGATGGGGCTGGGGTGGGGCAAGTTCAGAAGAACAAAGCTGGAGCCAGGACAGAGCAGGGCTCCAGGCCTCGTGCCAGCGAGGGCAAGCGGCAGAAAGCCCCCTTGTTGGGGGCTGCAGGAACTCGAGACATAGGGCTGTCCAAGGTAAAGAGCAAACCAGCATCGAGTCAACAGCAAGGTCAATAAGCCCTAAGAACATTTATCGAAATCTATCTTCAGGATTGTAGGAAAGAAAGCAGCCAAGGCAAACAGGAGCTACGTCTCTATCTGAGTCCCAGCTCGGGGCCCCACGACCTGGCTGGGTGTGAACGTGCGCGTGCAAGAATGCAGGGCTCTGCCATCCGCGGCCTCCGAGGGGCAGGCACCCTGGCAGGGAGGCTCCGCACAGAGCCGGCTTTATTCCCTCTGGTGGTGCGGGCGGCGGTGCCCTGGCTCAGGGGCGCTGGCCAGCAGTGGCCTTAAATAACGCTTTGTGTCATGTTCTCCTGTGCTCTGGTGCAGACCAGGTCCCCAGCTGCCCAGCCTCGCCCATGGGGCCACAGTCATAAATGACTCTAAGGTTGATTTCAGACTTTTTTTTTAAAGAAATGAAATTGTGGTAGGGTGGGGAGAAGAGCACATACATTTCAGGCTCGTCAGGAGGTAATAATAAGGCTCACTTTTACCTACTGCGACAGCTTGGAGCTTTGGGTATGCAGTGCCCAGAGATCCTTTACACAGTCTTTTTTTAATCCCCATTTTACAGATGGGAAAACTGAAATTGGATGCTGACAGCCAACACGTTTGAACAAAGCAACACCAAAAATGACACCTTGAGCCGTGCACTATGAGTGGGCAGTGACAAGCAGGAGCCTCAAGGTAGACAAAGGGAGAAGAGCCTGTTGCTGAAGGGCCAGGGGGTGGGAGGAGATAACGGAGGGCAGCTTCTCAGAGCAGGAGCCATGGCCTTGATCTTGAGAATAGGAGGTAGTCTGGGAGAGGTATGTGCAGCCGGCAGGGCTCTTGGTGGGAAGGGCTCCCTGAGAGTGCGGGGTTGGGTGGGGTGGGATGCACGCGGGGCCAGCTGGGGGAGGGGCACGATGGCCCTGCAGTGGCGCCCTGGTCTGATCCTGGGACCTGCAGAACTGCCTGGGACCTGGGCTGAGTGGAGCCACCCTCTGCGTTTCATTTGAGAAAGGCAAGGGCTGGAAGGTTGAGGCCATACTGGACAAAGAGGGACCTAGGTTGGGGACCCGGAGGAGGCGGAGACAGAGGGTGGGGCAGGGCCCGCCAGAGCCATGGGGAGGCACCAGCCAGCTCCTGATGGCATACATGCGGCTGCTCCTTTATACCATCTGCACCAGAAAAGCATTTCACCTGAACCTGGGGCTGCGCTATTTGTATAAGGAATGCAAGCTTTCCACAGAACCCTTAAGTCTTACAGGTCACCTAGGTTCTTGCAAACCAGGACACTAATGATCGCTCAGGTCTCCTGGGTCTCTAAGGCTGACTGTGACCTGGGCTTGGTGGTCCAAGAGGGTGTGACTTTGACCCCCCCCTTATCCTCCCCCTCCCCCATCCCAACCAAACAGGGAAGGGAGAATCAGACCCCTGAGTACCCACCTTCCTCCTTACCTCACCTTTTTTAAAACAGGAACTGCCAAGAAGCAGGTGACGACAGCCGGGGTGTCCAGAGCCCGCTGGGGGATGTTTAAGGGACACATGCCCTTGAGACTGTATATGTAGATCTTTTGATCCTGGAGGGGTGGCAGCCAGCGTGAGATGGGGTGGACCCGCCTGACATCTCCTACAGGGGCCCACTGGCTCTTAGAAACCCTTTGCGCCTTAGGAAGTGACATGTATGGAATTCTGGTTGCTTGTTTTCAAATTTCTGTTGTTTGTGGGACCTTGGAAAACTACAGAATTGTCTAAAGAAGCAAAATAAAATTGCCCAGAAGCTATTACTCAGAGAAAATCACCTTTGGGGCACACACTTTCAGTTTCTGTGGGTACGTGTGTGTGTGTGTGTGTCCCCGTTCCCAGCAAAAGTGGGACCACACTGCTGTGCTGTTGTCACACATTCCTTTTCCTGTGATGATATACACTGCAGGCTGAGGCCCCACCTACCGATTCCATGAGGGGACGATGTCTGAGCACTGTTCCCTGTCTACACTCATGTGTTAGAAATTGGCCCATCTGTTGTCCTGTGTCTGTTCCCTAGTCTTCACTACTATGAATTTTCCTGGGATGGGCATTCTCACAGATTGTGTTATTTCCTTGGAACAAATTCTTAAAACTGAAATACCACTGAGGTTCACGTGGTGTGAAGAGATTCCTGGTACGTATTTGAACCATGTTCTCCACTGCCACCTGGAAGTTTTGCTCCAGTTTTATAACACCCCCTCATACCCCGCCACCCACCCACCCCAGTCGCTTCTGAGCATTTGTTTCGGGGGCCTTCCAATCTGGGTTTCTCAGAAGACAGCATCTTGGGCCTGCTGCGGAGTTCCTTTACGTGAAGGCAACAGCCCTCAGAGCTGAGTGGGTTTGCTGTGGAGACCTGGCAGTGTTATAAGAAACCCGGTCCCTTTACCCACCCACTGGGTTCTCCTCTCCCGGGACTCTGTACCTGACACTTATCATGGCTGAGTCCCAGTCACCAGCCAGGGACAAGGCTGGCTGAGCTGCGCCTGGTGAGACGCTGCTGGGTCACACGGCTGCTGGCATTACTGTGGGGGGTGGAAGGTGTCTCACAGGTGTGAGCTGGGGTCATCAGAAGTTCAAATGTTTCTGGGTTTCCTGTATTTGTAGTTGCTAAATCTGCTCCCCCCCAGGGGCTGCCCCGCTCTGGTGTTGCCTGCCTTAATGCGAGCCCTGCACGGCAGGTGCTTACCTCGGTGGCCGTCCACAGAGAGCTCTGGACTTTGAGCTGGCAGCTCAGCCTCATTCCTGCGCAGCTCACTCGCTGGACTTCCAGAAGGCCCTTCTCTGTGTTCACCACTGTGTAGTTCCTACAATGGACGACGGTGTGCGGTCAGCTCACACTGCCAGGGGCCGCCTCCCTCCCTCCGGCGTGGCCTATAGCAGCCTTGGAGGAGGACATCAGCTGTGGGCCTCGTCCGCCCCCTCGGGCCCAGGGCTGAACTTTGTCATGTTCTGAGACCCAGGCCTGCTCAGAGCTGCGCACGCAGGCAGAGAGAGGCCATTTCCCATGGAAGGAAGACTCCCCACGAACTCCATGGCCCAGCAGCTGTGCTCCAGTAACTGTCCTCTCTCCCTGACGCCCAGCGTCACTGACCCCTCTACCATCAAGCTGAAGATAGCTCCCATCTTAAAACCAAGCCCCCTTGGACTGCTGCCTCCCCGACCCCTGGCAGATACCACCTTTTCTTTGGTTCTCTTACCCACAAACCATCCGTGCCTGTTTACATGTGGGGACTGAGTTTTCTCTCTCAGGTGGCCTCCATCAGGCTTTGAACTGTCCGCTAAACGTCTCTCCCATGGTCATTTCTGACTGCCCCCCAGTTACACGATCGCCCCCAATTCTGACACCAGCGGGGCACGGAAAGCCTCGGGCCGTTACCTGGATTCCTCTTTCCCATCCCAGAACACCACCGTGTACTCCTGGCCCGGGGACGAGAAGAAGGCTGTCTGCCTCCCGCATGGCAGCTGGTACATGAATGTGGCGAAGGTGGGGTCCTTCATCTGGCTCACCACCGACAGGGCCAGCGGTCGCTGAGGGAGAGAGGCCACCAGGGCTGTGAGCCGGGTCACTTACCACCAGACTGATGCCCATTCTGCCCCCACGAAACCAATGACCGAACCAGGGAGGAAGGTGTGGAACCGGCTGATTCAAGACCCAATTGAAACGAGGCTGAAGCAACTTCCGGCACCAGAAACAAACCCTTCCAGGTGTCTGGGTCATTGCTGCCTGCGGCGCCTCAAACTCAGGTGGTCAGGTTCGTCTAAACTCTGATATTTCAACTGCCATACCATCTTGTATAGAATTTGTCTCAGACCTCGTTTACTCCCAAGACATTAAACCAGCACTGTCTAAGTTGAAAAATGAGTTCTAACCTTGAAGCCACTGGTCCCTTCCAAAAACAAGTGGCTTTAAAATGATAATGTGACCACTGCTTCTGATGAGCAAACCTTCTAGCCCCGACTTTAAAAAGAGACACCCCCATTCTCTCTGCTCTTGCATGGGGCTGTGTAAAGGCTGATATGCTTGCTTTGCATGATGATGTCACACAAAAGTTGGGGAGGAAAAGAAAGTTCATTTTCCTGAGTATTACACATACCAAGAAAATGATGTGGACATGTTAGGAGCAGTAATACGTCTTTCTAGAAGAGGTGAGAAGGGCCACCCTGTTTGCTCCAGGCCCTTCGTGAAGGGTGGGCAGGCCCCCGTACATGTGTGCGCTGGAGACCCACAGCCTCCGCCATCTTGGCTGGAGGAGCCCCGGCCCCAGGCTCTGTGCCCCAGGTACCTTCTCGGGCTTCGTGTCCCAGCATTCCATCATGAGTGCCTGCAGCCGATGGAACTGCACTTCCTCTGGCTGCCCCAGGATCGGGCGGATGCCCTTGGACAGCTTCTTGGCAATCTGCAGCTGGTGGTGGCCCAGCACGGGCCGCTGTCCCGACAGCAGCTCGTAGAGCACCATGCCGTAGGAGAACATGTCTACCTGGGCACACAGGCAAGCCAAGTCAGGTCCTCTGCCCGGGCACAGCAGCTTTCGCAAGCTGGCCCTGAGGTGGAGGGAGCAGGGAGACACCCTCAGACAAGGAAAACATGGGCCCGGTCCAAAGGGAGACGCTCGTTAATCTCTCTCCACCTGCCCAAACATCTGAACAACCCTCTGAGCAACCATCATTCTATCCCTTTATTCACCCATCATGTAATCCTTCCTTCCTTCCTTCCTTCCTTCCTTCCTTCCTTCCTTCCTTCCTTCCTTCCTTCCTTCCTTCTTCCCACCCACTCATCTGACTGCCTGCCTTTCTGTCCATTTACCCATCCATCCATCCATCCATCCATCCATCCTCCCAACCATCTGTCTTTCCATCCAGCCATCCTCCCATCCATCCATCCATCCATCCATCCATCCATCCATCCATCCATCCTTCCATCCATCCATCCATCCATCCATCCATCCATCCATCCATCCTCCCATCCATCCATCCATCCATCCATCCATCCTCCCATCCATCCTCCTACCCATCTGTTTGTTCATCCAATAAACATAGGCCAAGACTTGCTAACTGCCAGGCAGTGGTTAAGGGCTCCAAGGGTGCCACGATTCTTACCCCCAAGGATGAAGGTAAGGCAGGAAAACAGACCCTCAGCTTAATGTGCTCAATGTTAGATTAACCGTGTACGTAAACCACAAAGAGGGGAAAGTCTCCAAATCAAACTGCGTTGATTCCTCTAATTTTAATGTCATAAAAAGGCCCAGCAAGGAGAGAGTTCTACAGGCCTGCGTAAGGGTTAAGAAATAACTTTTTAGCAGGACAAGGGAAGAGACAAACCTGAGAATTTTCAATATGAAGGTTCTTATTATAACCTCAGTTTTGAGGTGCCTTGTCTGTGTCACCTGCAATAAGCAGCTCTTATTTCTGGCACTCTGATTTGCCTTATCTATCTTGGTTAACAGCCACAGCTGCTGAGTTAACCCTCACATGCTTACGTCAATGACCCATCTGCTTGGGGAGGTGGGGGCGGGAGACAAGGAGCTCAGAAGCTATAGGTGCTGCCAGGGTGACCTGGCTGGCCTCACACGTGCCACTGGGCTGGGCCAGGGGACAGCAGTGGGCCAGGGTGGGTACCTTCTCATCATACACGATGCGAGGCCTGATCTCCGGGGCCTGGTAGCCAGGAGTGCCCTCCACACCCAGGGCACCCTCATGGAAGGACTGCCTCGAAATCCCGTAGTCTGACAGCTTGATGTTCACATGCTCCTTGACGTCGAGGGACCAGACCAGAATGTTGTCCGACTTTAGGTCACAGAAGATGATATTTTTCTTGTGCAGGTAGGCCAGGCCAGAGGCAATCTGGTAGGCGATTTTCTGAGTGAGCATGTGTCCCAGGGGCATAAAGGAAGAACCTTGGCAAAGAAAAGCATATCAAACTATCATTATAGCAACTGTCCTCTTCTCTTACCTTCTGTCTCCCCAAATGTTTTATATTCTACTGACGTGCTCTCATCATTCTCGATGCCAGAAAAAAAAGAGTGACCTTAAGTAAAATGGCATTTAGGACACAAATGCTTGTTGTGACAGTTTCATTCAATGGTATCTCAGACCTGGGATTGGTATTTTTACTAAAAGAGCAAGGCTTCAAAATTCTTAGTTTTCATCTCAGGCCAAGCTTGCTATACTATCAAGGGGTGAGCTGAAGATATAAGAGCTTCATTAAAACAAAAAAATCTCTTTCATTGGGGGGGAAATAATTGATTTTAATTGCATTTCTTCTTCCTTAGTCAAAAGACAGCTGCCTTTCTCTCTCTGTCAGCTCTTTGGAATTTAGTTACCCGTTTCTCAAGGTAAATTATTTTAGAATTTCATTAAAAAATAACATAGGACAAAGCTGAGCCCAGAGTCTCAGAGTTTTAACAACGGTGGACATGTGGTCGGTCTGTCATGGTTTAGGGAGAGATTTACTCAGCTATGGGCTTGCTTGGGGGACTGCTGTGGCTTGGCCTCCCTGGCTGCCTCATCTGATGCTCAGCTGTCCTCCCAGTGGGGCTGTCATCATCCTTTTTAACAAGCGAGGAAATCAAGCAACTTCCTGGATTATGGTGGAGAACCAGGACTTGGAACCTGGTTCTGTCTGACTCTAAAGGGTGAGCTCCTCTGGCCTCGATGACACCACCGCACAGGTTGAGACCTGGTGAAGACCTTTCGTCACCCACAGGGAGGTGGCTATGTGAGCCGGGGTGGGAGGCAGGTGTGCTCTGCCCCAGACAGCCGGGCCAGGCAGGCGTGGTCCCCAGGCCTGCGCTGCCTTCCACGGGCTCCATGGGCCTGGGCCCCCACCGCCCCTCTGGAGTGCTCTGGGCTCGGCCGTACCTTTGGCGTTCTCGGACAGCACGGTGTTGAGGCTGCCCAGCGGGGCCAGCTCCAGGGCGAAGCAGAGGGGATGAATGCTAATGCCGATGAGGGACACGATGCAGGGGTGCTGCAGCGCGTGCAGCATGCTGGCCTCCTGCCGGAACTCTGAGAAGTTCTTCATGGCATCCGTGGCCCGCAGGTGCCGCAGCATGGTGTCTGCAGGGGACAGCTGGCGGTAAGTGCGGCCCAGGAGGGTAAGGGGTGAGGGGCGGGCTGCCCTGCTGGGCCCTGCACCACCTGCCCAGGGACCCCATCGGAGCCAGGTGACCGAGGGTCCCGGCCACACTCAGAGCTGCCTCGAGGGGCTGGCAGGGCCAGGATTTACATTTCAAGGTACTTAACGTATCAGGGGTTGAAATACTGTCACTCAGAATTTGGCCCCAAATGGTGGCATTTCTGAGGCAGTCTGGGCTGATCACAAGACCCCTCCACCTCAGGTGCGAAACTTGTGAAACCCCTCACACTCGGTGGTTCCTGCCCCATCAATGGAGGGCCGTACATGTCCCCACTCTCGTCACCCAGACGTCGTTCTTGCAGCCATCACCCCAACCTGCTGCTGGCCACCTGAGGGTCACGTTTGTATCTTATTCCAACTCTGCATCCCAGGAGGGCCGTACGCAGGCTGCTTACCCACAGGATGCTGAGGGATTAGTCACTGCTGCCCACGTCATTCCCTACCCAGTGGCCAGGACCCCCGAAGGCAGAAAAGACCCCCAGCTTCTTGTGCACAGAGAAAACTGGGGGCCAGTATAGGCCTGTGACACGTCACCTCCGCAGAGGAGAAAGGTCGATGGGCAGTGGTGGGCGATCTCACGCCTGTGCTGTAACCTCCCAGTGCCCTTGAATGCATCCCATGGAAGGTGCCTGCATGAGCCCTCCAAGGGGTCTTCCCACCAAGTGGAGGGGCAGGACGCCCAGAACCCACCCAGCAGGAGCCACCAGGCCTGCTCGTCCTCCTGTGGCCTGACCTGTCCCTCCCTCACGGTCAGAATTTAAAATCGGGGCTCACCGAACATGGGAAACAATCTGGGGAGTTAAAACGCATCGATTGTGCCTGATCTACGTGTGTGCTGGCCACATCTGGTTTTTAAGTGTAAAAGTTTTGTTTTTCACATTGGGTCTTTAACTCACTAAGAATTTATTTTTGAGTGTGGTGTGAAGTCTGACCCAAATCTCCACCCCAGTTTAGTGAAGAGTCAGCCTTTCCCCTGCAGTCATGATGTCACCTGTGTCACGTGCCAGCTTCCCACACACATGTGCACTGTCTCTGTTCCCTGGATGGCCTACGCTTGCCTGGGAGAAAATGGTCTGAATGCCTGTAGACTTAGAAGTTATGGCATTTGCTGGACAGGCCTCTTTCCTGTGTCTTCCACTGTAAAATTTTCTCAGCTGTTTTTGGGCTTTTCTTATTTCATATGCATTTTAGAATTAGTCAGATTTCACACACACACACACACACACACACACACACACACACACACATGCACGCGTGTGCACACACACATGTATGCACATACACACCCTGCGGGGATTTACGTGAGAACTAAATTGAAACATGTATATTAATTATTCCTCAATACTTTGTGGTTTGATTGCTGCCGTGGACGGTGTTTCCTAACCGTCAATGCCGAATATGGGAATGCCACTGAACTCTCATGGTGAGCTCACGTCCAGCCATTTTATGAAACTCTTACTGGTTCTGACGTTTGTCAACAGAGTCTCTTAGCTTTTCTGTACAGAAAGTCTCATTCTCTATACATAATAACATTTGTCTCTTCCTTTCTGACTTGCTTTCTTTATGTTGTTCTATGATTTTAATTTTTCTACCAAGAGTGTAAGTTCCTGGTATGATCATAAAGATGGCAGTGGTAAGCCAGGGGTGGTGACAATGCAATAGTCAGCTGGCAGGAAGCAAGGAGGCCTCCCAGCATCCACACTGGTTGGGCATTAAGTGGTGATGGGCTCCCCATGACGTGTAGGGCTGAGTGTGGCAAAGCAAGAGGGTGTTCCCTCCTCTGTGGGGGTGCAGGGTGGCGAGAAGTCACCCCATGTGGCCTTCCCAATCCATTCAACTTGGGTGCCCACCTTCCTTCCTTCAGTGGAGATGGCTGAGAGGGCCCCGTGGGCTGAGAGGGTCTTCCTGAGGCCCACCATCTGCCAGGCATGTGCTGGACATGGAGCAGACGGAAACTGTAAGGATGGCCATGCTCTTGGGGGCTCGTGTCCAGGCAGGAGAGTAATCTCCAAAAGCAAATTCCAGGCTTTGCTCTGCCTGACCCTCAGGCCTGTCCCAAGTCCTGCCAGGCACAAAGCAGGGCTGCCCTGCGGCCCATGCTGGCCTCACCCACTCTCCTCCTGCCCGTGTGCCCGTGGCCTCTGGGCTCCCTAAGGCGGCATGAGGTTTGGACCTAGGAAGCACGCGTCTGGAAAGAAACGATGCAGGGCCCTACTGACCTGCTGGGACATTAGCGAAGTTCTTGAATTTCTTGATGTGGAATCGCTTCACAGCCACAGGCTGGCCTTGGTACCGGGCCCGGTAGATGATGGTCCCGCTCCCGCCTTGGCCCAGGACGCTGCTCTCGTCCTCGCTGTGCTCCAGCTTGCTGTTCTCCAGGAAGAGCCTGCCAGAAACAGCGCACGCGGGGGTCAGCGCAGACCCCCAGAGAGAAGGGGTGGGTCCCGGGCTGGGGGATGCGAGGATGTGCTTGGCCATTTGTGTCCACTGTGGAGAATCATGGATCAAAGCCACCTATGGCGTCAGACAGGTCTGGGCAGGTTATGCAGCCTCACCAAGCCTTAGCCTCCTCCTCTGTAATGGGGTCTGTAACAGGAACGGCGTCATAGGCGTGAAGGTAACAGGCTCAGGATGAAGCCTCCGAAAAGGCGGATGTGGGAAAAAGATCCCTTTGGGTACTTTCCTCCAAAAGCCCGTGCTTTGAGAACCTGTACCCATCAGACACACTGCACATGTTTCGGTGAGGTCAGCTGTTTCCCCCTTTCTTTTTATGAAGCAAAGGGTCATATAAGCAACCACGCAGACCGATGACTAGGACGCCACCTGAAGGCAGGGCGTTTAGCCTTCACTGGTCTGCGTGTGTGCTAGTCCTAGGGAAACATAGGCATTTGGAAATACGCAAGTTGCTCCTGGAAGGGACGGAGGGAGGGCAGGGCAGCCCCAGTGTCCTTCCACTTCAGGGCCTCCCCTGCTCTGCCGAGGTGCACCTGGGGTCCTCATCAGCTACCTGTGCCAGGTGCCTCCACTGGAGCCCTCCTGCCCTCCCCCACCCCCCATGCAGTTGTTTTGCATGTGTCCTGTCTCTCCCCTAGGGTCAGATTTTAAAATTGGGGCTGGTTAGACATGGAGGTTCCAATTTTCCCAGGCACAGATTTTGCAGTGGCTCACCCTCCAGACCAAAGCAACTGTGCCCACTGCAGCCTTTGGGGACACGGGAGCCCCCCCGGGCTGTTGTCCAGGTGCCCACCCAAACCACCTGCTCAGGAAGTGTGGGCACTCAGGGGCCACCTCGGACTGCACGGGGAAAGGCAGGGCCGTCGGGGTCCCTTGGGTTTTCTGTTAGGACTTGTGTAAATTATGGAAGCACATATCGGTGCAGGAGCCAATCACAGGACAGGGACGCCTGGTTGCCAGGTCCCACCTGCCCCAACTCCCAGGGTGGGGCCATGGTCATGGGGCCACAGCCAAAGTTTCCAGAGCCTCGGCTGGATTTTGAGTCCTGTTCAGATTGTTGGGCTTTTCAACTCCTGGCCAAATAACTTAGTTTATGAACCATGCTACAGCCTGCGATTAGGACCAAACCAATCGAGACAAGCAACGTGGCTTTCCAGATTCCATACAGTATTCTACTGCCTGGATTCAAAGGGGCACAAAATACAACAACATTTAGTAAATAAGTGAAATTCTAAAACTTTGGGGCTGCTTAATCAGGCACCCCTCCACCAAAAAAAAAAGAATCTGATTCACACATATGCAAAACTCTGCATATGGTCCGAGAAGTGATAACTATCATGTTAAAGATTTAGGAATTCTGCAGAAAAGCAGTGTTTAACTGGCATTGCCCCTGACGAGGTAACGGGGGATATTGAAAAGAATTATGGGGGAACTTATTCCACATAGGGAGCAATTTCTTAGTTTAAAAGACTCATCCAGTAGCATGTTTTGGAACCCCAATTCTACAATATCACAGAGTGCTCTGTATGCATTTTCTTGAGATGGGGATCAACTTAGAAAGATGAGTAAAATATTCTCCCCCCACCCCTCCAAAAAAAGTTTAATTTTCTTTAAAGAAACTAGATGGAGCAATCTTTTGAATAAGAAAACAACAGGACTTCACAACTCCAAAAAACGCCGGGTAACCACCAATGTCAAATTGTCTCCAGGGAGACAAGATCCTAGCTTCTGGTTTCCATGGTTACAGAAGACGCCATCTTTTACCGAGCACTTGGCTGTCGTGCCTGTTTCCTGCTGGATGGGACCACAAACGCTTTTTATTTTCTCCAGCCTTCTCTCCCCAGTTATCATCTTAGGTTAGCGCAGGTGGGCTCAATAGATTTCGGGGGTCCAAGTGCTCAAACTTGGGGCAGCAGTCAGGAGTCCGCATTTGCCAAGAAATGAAAATGAGGCTCCCAGTCTGGGCGTACCCCTTCTTGAAGGTGGAGGAGCATCTGCCTCCCATTCCTTGAGATGGCAGTACCGTAGGATTCCGGGGAGAGCCAGCTCCACCGAAAGGAGATGCAGCCAAGTGAGGGAACGACTGAGTCGGGTCCTGCAATGGCTTCTCCCTCTAAGTGCTCTGCCCGTATTGGCCTCAAAATTGAAAAGGCGATATCCTGGTTCCCTTCTAGCGGCCTAGGATGGGACCCTAAAAGTCACCCAGGACTGTGTGGGAGCAGTGGCTACAGCAGCTGCCAGCACCTGAGGGTGGGCCGTGCAGTGTGGCGCTGTGGCTTACCTGGCTGGGAAGTCAGTCATGAACAACTCGGGGACCAGCTCCTGCAGAGGCACGGGGAGGTCAGGGTGCCTGGGGCAGGTGATGAATTCCTGCTCAATGGCCGTCAGCACGCAGTCTTCCATGTCGAAGTACTGCACAACTTCTGATTTGTCACCAGGGTCGGCGGTATGCTGGGCCCAGGAGGTCTCGCAGACTGGGCAGGGCACATACTGTTCCATGAGTGGGGTCCCATCGCTCTCCGTGGCCGTCAGGGCTAAATGGTAACAGAGGGGGAGACAGCTTACAGAAAGATAGCCAGCCGCAGGCAGGTCCCTGAGCATCACCCTGCAACCCCAGGCTGGGTGGCCTCTCCCAGAAAGGGATCTGTCTGCCCTCCCGTGCACTCTCAGGAGGGGCTGAAACATGACTGCTGCACTCAGGTTCCTTTTTGGAGAGCACCATCGTTGATCCTGAAATTCTTGCACAGGGAGGGGTCAGGGATGCACTGGACAGCCTCTAGCTGGTGGTCGGTGGTCTAGACCCTGAATAGGCTGGCCAAGGAGGGGATCCCTCCTGCACAGCTGGGCTCCGACAGGACGCTGTGGGCTGGGTCTGAGCTACGCCACACTCCAATGACCGAACCACAACCAGTAAGGAGCCATTGTTAAAATTAGAAACACAAGGCTTGCAATTACTACGATTCCTTCTGGAAGAGCCATGCATGGGGAGAAAGAGTACAAATCATAAGAGACAAAACCTAGTCATTTTACATGTGTTCCCTGGGAGACACACAGGTTTTGTGTACGCCTCTAAAAGAAGGTGCAAAGAAACACCCCAAGGTGCCCTGTGGAAGCCTTCTCAGGGCAAGCTGAGGGCCTGCTTTGTGCAGGGTAGGGGGTGGACTCCTAGAACTTTCTGGGCATATCTGCTCTCCGAGACCTGTGTGTAACACATCCTACTAGCTGGCTGGTGGTGCCATTTCCGGGCAGCCCTGTCTCAGGCCCTCAGCCCAAATCCCCCCATCAAACCCTCCATAGCACCTGCTGTCGGGGGACTGCTGGTTGGCGGGGAGTCATGAAGGGCCCAGGAGGGTTCATATGGACCTAGAGGCCCCCCCTTGAATGGTCAAGCACAATTGCCACAACTTACACACGAAACTATCTTCTCTTAGGCCCCTCTCTAAGCTTTCTGTCCTTGTAGGTCACCTTCCCATCCACACCAAAAGGACCCCAGGCTCTGGTGTCAAGTGTGCACTCCGACCACCCCCACCACTGTCCCTTAAACATTTGCTCTGATGCTCTCCTGGGACGCAGGGGTGACCTGCTGTGAGGAAGCCAGCTCAGGGAGGCTAGAGGACTCTGAGCCTGAGCTCAGCTTGCTGGGCCGCCAGCCTTCAGACTTTGAGGGCTCCCAGGAACAGGCTGCCCAGCTTGGCCCCAGATGGCCTCCTCCCTGTGGGATGCTCTGTGGGTTTGTCTCCACTCTGATAGCAAAACACACAGTGGCCCCAACAGCTTCACTTCAAAGAGTGTTTTCTTTGGGTGGACTATCAGTGAAGGAACTGATCAAAGGGTCCGAAAAGGGCCATGGGGGTGGTTGAGCACCTCTGGGGTTTGGGGTGGGCGGCAGGCAGAGAAGGAGAATGGGGGCCCTTGGCAGGTGGGACTCCCTTCCCTCCCGCCCCTGCCCAAGAGATAAAGTGCCATCTGCGGGCTCCCCCAGGTTCCAGCAGCATTGCCCTCACTGTGTAAACAAGAGTGCGTGAGGCCCCCATTGAGGGTCCTGTTGGGCCACGCGTGGTACCGGGGGCACTGTGGGCAGCCAGCAGGCCAAGTCCTGCACACGCCCTGTGGGGTCTGGGCCCACATCTCCCCAGAGCGGCCCCACCCGTGCCCACAGCTGAACTCCCCCAGGGGTCAGGACTCTACCAGGGGTCAGGACTCTACCAGGGGGCCGTTTCAGAACCCCTCTGGTTTCCTTGGGCTGAATTCCAGAGTGGGATGTCTGCTCCCCAAATAAGAAGCCCCACTCTGATTTATAAAAAAGAATACAGTTGACCCTTGAACAACGTGAGCGTTAGGGGTGCTGACTCCCACACAGTTGAAAATCCTCTTATAATTTTTTACTCCCTCCAAACTTAGCTACAGTTGTCCCTCGGTATCTGTGGGGATTGGTTGGTTCCAGGATTCCCGCAGACACTGAAACCCACAGATGCTCAAGCCCCTTCTATAAAACGGTGTAAGACAATGCATACACCCGTGGACCCCCAACACTTTTTGTTCCGCGGTTGGTTGAATTTGCAGATGTAAAACCTGCTGACACAGACCATATAAAAAAATATCCGCGTATAAACGGAGCCACACAGTTCAAACCCGTGTTGTTCCAGGGTCAACCGTATCAACATGAGCCGAGACTTGGTTCACAACCTTCTCTTACCGGGAAACCACTGATCGATCAAGGAATTGACATGGTCTGTGATAAAAGCCATTGCCGAGAAGTCCCTCATTTCTGATTGGCAAATGATTTTTATTCCTCCGCTTTTTTTCTTTTTCCAGTTCACGTCCGAGGATTCCACACTGCAACCCAGAGACAGAAGGGAGTGTATTGTGATCTGGCTGTGGAGGGCGCTGGGGTGGTCCTCTGCCTCCAGGGTAGGGCTGTCGGAGGCTCTCCCATTCATGTACTTGTGTGCATTTCCTTGCCTTGTCCCCCCCCCGACCCCGCCCCCAACATGGTGAAGTGGACATAATGAGGACTTCCCAGTAAGAGATGTTCAGGCTGGGATCTGGCCCTCAGGTGCGACCCGGGAGAAGGTTCTTTCTGAACCACAGGGTTCTCACCTGCCAAGGTGACAACTGTGAGCTTGAAGTGGGAACAGCTACTGGAAAGCACCCGGCATGGCCACAATCAGGCCCTCAAATCGAGTGACTTTCCCCTTTTCCCATTCTTTTCTCATAGAGTTGAAGATTATTTTGAAAAATTCATTGTAAATATGAAATAATCTTGTGTGTTTATTAAACCAGATTAAAATCATCTATTAAACCTGTGGAGCTGACTTTATGTCTATCTTTCTAAAAAAAAAAAGGAAACAGGAAAACGGAGCTGACGTAGGTATCTTCTATCGGTCGAATCTGGGACCAGTGTTGGCAAGTCTTAGGTCAAGGGGGTAGGGCCTGATGGCCGCAAGGCCCTCGTGGGTCCCACCTAAGTGACCACGGGGGTGCCACAGCCCAGTGGCCGTCCACTTCCCTCAAGCCCTGGGCTGGTCACCACACCCTCCCTCACCTTTCCTGTCCTACTAGAGGAAAGAAAAAGGGCTGAGGAGATGGGGACCCTCTGGGACATTTGCAGGGCAGGGGGGAGGTCTTCCATTTCTAGTGAGCTGCCATGATGAGCCACTCTCAGGAGCAGAACTCTGGACACCAAGTGAACTGTCTCCCAGCAGAGGCGCCACGGTGACCCCATCAGGCGTTCCTACCTGAGGTAGCCCCCATCAAAAGTGACCAGGAGGCCTTCCTGCCAGTAGATGGTCTGATTTCTTTTTACTCGGAACGTGCTGCAGCGATTTCTCTGGTTTCCTGCAAAACTGTAGATGGTGACTTTCCTATGCCTGTTCTTAGTATTCTTCTTGGTTTCGAAAAGCTGAAAGACAGGTAAAGGACCCTGCTCAAGGATTCCAGGCTCCTCGCAGGCCCCGGGGCAGAGCTGCAGAGGCCGGTGGGGGCCTCCATGATAAATGGCCACCGTCCCCTCCACCCGCACTGCTTAACCCGCTGCCAAATTCAACGCTGCGTGACCCGAAGGCGTCTCCAGGATACACTGGGAACACATTTTCTCCAAAAGGTTGAAAATAGGCTTTTCTCTTTCGAATCTTTCCCTCCTGACTTTACAAGGAAAAATTTATGTTAGGAAATGAGGAAAATACAGAAAAATGTAAGCGAGAATATAAAACATCACTAGCACCAAGCAGTGGGCTCAGGAAGATTTGGGCATATTTTTACATTCAATTGGCAAATATTAGAATTCTTTGAACACTTCCACATTCTGGACAAATATGTGTTAGAAACATGTGCATGAAATTAATGGGTCCACAATGTCTGATCTCTAAGTGTATTAGAAAAATATCTTGGCGGAAAATATCAAGGAAAGAGAAAAAAACAGATTTGGGTATATTTTATTCCATGATTTTTTTTCTGTCTACATATATGTTTATAAAAGAGCTGAGGCCATGTTTTCTAACTCAGTATTTCTAATTTTCTAAATTTCTAAATTTGTATTTCTAACTTTGTACACTTTTACAAACTTTACTTTTCCAGTGCCATTAAAAAACACATATAAAATTCATTTTTTTTTCTAAAGCTCAATATTTTATGAAGTATAGGAATTTCCTGAGTCATTTTCTTTGGACGTCTAGGTTGGTTCCAATCTTTTGCTTCCTCAAACAAGACAGATGAACGTAAAACAAAAAAAAGCACAAAGCTGTCTCTGATTTCAAATGATTTCCTTACTTCAGATTTTTAGCAGTAGGATTATCCGGAAAGGATCTGAACGTTTTGTACTGAGGAATTGATTTCCAAACAATTAAACTGTATACACACTGATCGTGGAGTGTGAACGTTTCCTGAAGGTCCTGGGGCTGGCTATGTCCACTTAAGTCTGCTAATTTGATAGGTGAAAAGTGGCATCTCGCCATTGCTTAAATTTGCATGCCTTTGATTACTCAGGGGGCTAAACGCTTTCCTTTTTTCCTCATCTGAATTTCAATAGGGCTTCTTTCTTGATTTTGAGTGAGGGATACTGCTGGGAAGGGCCCCTCCCCCCTGGCTGAGCCCACTTGGGAGCTCAGGCCTCATTTGACACCAATCTCTGGGGCCACCCACTGAGAACATGGCAGCAGTAAGAGTTCAAAGGGACAGCAGAGTGGCGGAGGAGGGACCGTAGGAGAGCCAGCTCCGGTACCCACTCCTTCCTTCAGTGCATCCTCCTGGCGTTATGAACGAGTCCCCTCCCTGCTTAACATGGTCCAAGACAGTTACAATTTTTCAGGCTCTTGCTTTATTTTTTAACATTTCAGTAAAAAAAATGGGAAGATCAAAGAATACCTTTATTTAGCCAAGAAGCTGTAATTCCATACGGGCCTTTTAATTAGACTGTGGCAAAAAAAGTAAACGCACACTGAACTTAATGTCAACTGTTTAACAGTCCGGGTTTATGCCAGGGGTTCTCATACTGTACAGTGGGCCAGAGCCCTCTGGAAGGCTTGTGAAAAAAAAAACAGAGTGCTGGGCTGCATCCTACAGTTTTCTGATGCAGCCTGTCTGGGGCGGGCCAAGAATCTGCATTCCTAAGTTCCCAGAGGCGGCTGATGCTGCTGGTCCAGGAACCCCAATTTGAGAACCACCACTCTAGACACACTACTTCCGTGTTATTGTCCTGTGTGAAATTAACGTTAAGCCAGGCCTCCTTTCAAGAACCCCAGGTGAGGGGGTGGCAGATTAGCTCAGGTGGTTAGAGCGCAGGTTCATAACACCAAAGTTGCTGGTTCGATTCCCACATGGGCCAAGGAGCTGCACCCTCCACAGTTAGGCTGAAGATAACTACTTGACTTGGAGCTGATGGATCCTGGAAAAACACGCTGTTCCTCAATTAAAATTTCTTACAAAAAACAAAAAACAAACAAAAAAAACCTCCCAGGTGAACCCACAGAAAATAAGTCCTTGGGTTCGGTCGTCATTGCTTCCAGACCCAGTTCAAGTTCTACATCAGTGTTTCTCAAGCTTGACTGGATAGTGGAATCAGCCAGGAGCTTTAACACACACTAACATCTGGGTGCAGCACCCAAAGATTCTGATGTTAGCGGCCTGGGGTCCAGTCTATGCCTGTTCAAAGCTCCCCAGATGAGTCTAGTGTACAGCCTTGAGTGACAGACAAACCCAAGGGTGGAAAGCCATGGTTCTCCATGTGTGGTCCCCTACGTACCAGCCCACACCCACTGAATCAGAACCTCTGAGTGGGGTCCAGCCCCAGCCCCCCCCCCCCCCCGCCACTGCCCCAGGGGATTTTGATGTGGGTTAGTTTAGAGCCACCACTCTTTAAAGGGCGTATTTGGTTTCAGCCCACCAGGTGCCAATCTGGTGTTCAGAGAATGTTTCAAATGGGTCCACTGGCTTAGAGGACAGAAGGCAGCCATGTTGAGCCTGCCCTTGGCCCTAAGTCAGCAATTTTGCTGCAGAAAAACAGGGTCTTTAGTCAGGCCCTTGCAGCAAAAGGCCTCTCCCTCCCTTGAGGATATACAGTTGCAGGTGCCGCCCAGGTGTCCCCCCCTCTGCAGAAACTGCCGCTACCTGGAGGTCCATCTCCGCCAGGCTGATCAGCATCCGAGCTATGAACCTTTGCCAGAAGCCGACAGGAACGAAGCTCATCTTAAACACCCGCTGAATGGTGTTGGCCGTGGGGTACCGCATGCTGTGAGTGTCCAGGCCAGGTTTGGATGGGAGGAGATGTGGCAGAAGGTAGCTGAAACATATCACGGGGACAGATAAACCGTTGTGGCCCAGCTCTGCCACAGGGCCCGGACCCGGGCACAGCCGGGGCCTTCTTCCCAGGGCCCTGGAATTTTATTTTTAGAAAGAGAGGGTAGTTTCTATGCTGAGAATAAATGCTCCAAGAGAAAATGAAGACGGTCACTGTGAACGTGTTTACGAAGGCCTCTAAAAAAACTACACGAATGCTGAGGAAAGACACGAAACCATTTGTGTCCATAAACACGTCAGACACAGCAAATGGCAGCTGATGCTCTGTAAACTGGGCTGTGATTGGGGAATTGCTTACAATGAACTTGGGACGGCGAAGGGAAAACAAACACAGCTGCACAGTTCCAAGGACCGCGAAGATATTGGGGGCAGAGGAACGTTTTTTTGGCTTTCGAAGCTATTTATTGTTCTTGGCCGGTGTAGACGACACCACCTCCTTTCAAGTTAGAACGAGGCTGTTTGTGCAAGAGAGAGACGTTTTATGAGAGCACACTTGCTCATCATAAAAGCGCTGAATCACCACCATGTCAGTGGTCATTTGAAAACAGCTGAAACCGGGGAGGTCCCTTCAAGAGTGTCCCTGAAAACCAGCATTGCTCGTGGACCCTGGAGAGACAGGGGCAGGCTCAGGGCACTCCAGGAAAAGTCCTGGGTGAGTCCTTTTCTTAACAAAGGCTTTGCCTCCAGCTCTCCTAATCCCCTTAAAATGCATCCCTTTAGGGCCAATAAAATGTCTTTAGAACTTTTTGGAAGAGACTCCAAAAAACATCATAGAAGCAAGAGTCAGTGACAGCCTGGTGGGTGGAGGGCACGGGTGTCAATCTTGGTTCATTGTCTTCCACATCTGGCTGAACCTCGTTGCAATCCCGCCTTGTAACGCGGGAAAAGAAAAGGATACCCACTCACGAGGCTGGTGAAGGACGGACAGGTTCTGTGCAGGTGAGGCCCAGAGGCAGCAGGTGGTAAAGTTTTGGGTCCTTTCCGGTCATCTCAGATCTTGGGGGAAAGGACCTTCTCAACTACCCTAGCCTCTCTCTCCATATATTATTATTCCAATTTCACAGATGAGAAAAGAAAGACAATTGGGACCCACACTCAGGCATTCTGGCCGCTGTACTATAAGCCTCCATGGACTTGGCAATGAACTGGCTGATTTTATGGTTCAGCCAGACATGCATATGTGTATAACTCACTTGCTTTTACTGAGTGCTAATGTCTCCTCAGTCCTCTAACTTGTTGATGAAGTAACCGACAACTGTCAGATCTCAGCAATGTTGTAACCTCACAGGCCACCTCACCTTGTGCTTTGTCAGGGACCAAAGTCAAGGACACCCCTGATGTGAGGGATCATGTGGATTTTGAATTCCTCTCTGTGGTTTTTCTTTTTAAGACTCACTCATAGCTCGCGTGGGGCTGGAGCAGCAAGAAAGACTGAGGTCCCCTCCCATAGTTACAGGCCGAGTGGGAATCTGGGTGGGGCCACAGGCCAAGGTGGCTCAGGGCTGGCTCCCAGGAGGCCCAGTCTGTGCTAATGGAATGGCCGCATAGGGTCCACGCCAGTTCCCCAGGAGTCTGCAGCAGGCAGGCCCCCGAGCTCCAGGGTTGGGGGACAGGATGGTGACATATTCTGTGGTAGGTGCATGGAAAAGGGATATGGATTTGGGATCCTGGCTACTGGCCAGTATCAGCCTCAGACCAGGAAGTGGCTGAAACTGAAATTAGGGCAAGGAGGCCCTGAGTACCAAGCCGGCTTAGGTTGGAGCATTGCTAGATCCAACCCACGTGGCCCCAGCCCCTACCTTCCCTGTATGTTGAAGCTGGGCTGTGTAATGAGCACGCACGTCCCTCCATTTTATTTACCAAGTAACCAAGCCGTCACTCCCTTAAAACTTGAACCCCTCCAAGGTTCTTTCTAATGCCACCCTTGTGTGTTTTCCTGTGCCTTTTCAATAAATGCAATTCTTTGGACACCCTGAGAAGAGACACTCATGGCACAGAAAGGAGCAGCCAGCGCAGGTGGGCAGGTCGTCGCCACGCCCCGTCCCTGGAAACCTTGTTGGAGCCCCAGCAGCCCCAGCCCCGACTCCTTCCTCCTGGGGACTCACCTGTCGTTGGCCACTGGCAGGGCGATCTCAAACTTGGCCAGGAACTGGAAGTACTGTTCTTCCGTCTGCTGCGTGAAGCCGGTCCCAACCAGCAGCATCCTGAGGTCCTCCGCCCGGATCACCCCATTCTTGGCCACCGAGCGGGAGCCTTTGATGTTGAAGATTCTGTGCAGACATTCCGACAGCCAGATGGGGTCCAGGAAGTAGAGGTTCCTCAGGCCGCGGCTGGTGTCCGGGAAGTGGAGCAGGGTGCCAGTTTCTATGAGGAAGCTGATGGCTGTCCAGAAAGGGGAGGGGGTGGGGCAGTGTCAGAGCGAGGGCAAAAGGGACTCTGGGGTGACCTATTCCCCTGGGGTCCTGGGGCACAAATCCTTCCTAGGAAGCAATCAACACTCCCAACACAAGGGCCCTTCAGACAGGAGGGCTGCCCCATGATGTGGGGTGCTGCCCCGTCCAGCAGCACCTCCTAACCCTGGCCAACATGCTGATCTGACTGCCAGCCACGGAGCCAGTCTATCGATGTCTGTTATTGATGGAGTCTGTCTTTGCAAATTCGACTACTCGTTAAAATTGATTTGTGACCTCCAAAATCAATACCCACAGTGCATTTGCAGTTCTTTGCAGACATGTGCAGAGCGGTGACAAATTTGAGTACCCTCTGTGCTTGTGCCTGCTGGTGCCCACCTAGACCCCTCCACTGCCCACCTGCACCCCTCCCTTGACCCACCCACTGGGGCCCCTCCGCTGCCCACCTGGGCTCCTCTGCCACCCACCTGTCCCCCCCGCTCCCTGACCACCCACCAGACTGCAGGTCCTCAAAGTCTGCGATGTCATTGTTGGGGGTCTGCTCCACCAGCCGCTCCAGCTGCCTGTCTGTCAGGTACTGCACGTCGTCACTCAGGCTGCGTCGCTGCTGCTCTGCCAGCACGGCCTCCTGGAGGCTCAGGTAGCTCCTGGGGACCTGGGGACAGATGGGCGAGGCTGGGCCCTCAGGTCCTGAGGCGTGCACAGCCAGCCCAGCCTGCCTGCTGCCCTCCAGAGGCCTGAGGAGGTGGGATGTTTCCCATCTGCCCCTTCCCCAAGACACTGCTCACACTGGGACATGGAGCCTGACAGGGAGAGCAGGGAGAGAGGGAAGTGCGGGTTCCCCACAAACAGGAGGCTGGCCCCTGTGGCACGAGGGCGGTACCCACCAGCCTCCCAGCGAGGCGCTGGCAGCCGATGGTGCTGCCCACGTCCTTCATGCTGCACGTGACGTGGAAAATCAGCTGTCGCAGCCCCTCCTGGCCTTCCAGGCTCTTACAGGAAATCTCGCTGTGAGTGTGAAAAGAACCACATACTTATCACGTCCCCTCTGACAAATGCCCAGCAACTCCAGACACTGGCAGGTGGAGAGAACTCATGCAACATGGACACAGAGAAACGCACTCAGGCCTTTCTTGGTGCAAAGCTCTGTGCTGGGACCACCACGATACATCACTATAGTCTGTCTTCCCAACCTGACCATTTTACAGAGGAGGAAAGTGAGGCACGCAGGCACTAGGGGACCCCCAAGGACAGACAGAGTCTGCTAGAAAACAGCTAGAAAACTCAGATTGCACCCAGGTCTCTGACACAGAGTGGGTGCTCGTATTGTCACAGACCCCAGTGCAGCAGGAATTCTGCCTTCTGTGCCAGGGGTGTGTGTCCCAGGCGGACCCATGCACCAACGTCCATGTCCATGGGACTCCACCCAGAGTGAGGGAATGCAAGAACCACCCATGCAGCTGCAGCCACGTACACTTTAGTCACATCAGAGAGCACTTACTTAACTCAGTTTCACCATCTGCAAAGTGGGCACCAAGGACAGGAGGTGGGAGAAGCCACAGCTCCTCGGTGCTGGTCCCCCGTGCACTAGCCCATTGTGACGCCCACCCGGCAGCACCTTCACCCAACCCAGGCCCTTCCAGACCACCCAGATCCAATGTGAGCACGAGGGGTCTGTTCTTGATCAGTGATAAACACATGTGATGGGCCTGCCATGCTCAGCACTGGCCACAGGGTGTGGGGGACCCAGGAGGGACCGCAGACAGGGTGTCTCCAGGCCTTCCTTGCCTGCCCTCCAGCAGCTCCTCACCCTCTCCAGGGCTGTGTCTGCTCTGAGGGGGGGGGGGAGCTGTCAAGCTGCCACTCTTCACCCTGGAAGGGGCCCCAGAGAAGCCTAGCCAGGCTAGGAGCCCTCCTCAGGCAGGCAGATCCCTGGCGTCCCCAGGAAGATGGACAAGTGAGTGGCCGGTGGCCACAGCCACGTGCGAGGTCGAGAGAGCAGCCCTGGGACACTCACTGTAAGTGTTTGAAAGTGATGTCCGGGAAGCCGGTGGCCCTGGACCCGGAGGGCGAGCGGCAGAGGGCCAGCACGTAGGCTCTCAGTGTGGCGATTCTCTCCACGCGGAATTTGCTTTCGATCAAGTCCAGGTGTGTCCCGACCACCAACACCACGGCGTTTGGGGCCTTGGCCTGTGACAGAGAACCCTGCAGCTGACAACCTGCTCCCTGCACCGGAACCAGTGGCTGGAAACAGCTCCCCTGGGCCCTCCACGGGCGTGTGACCCTGGATGCCTGTGGTCCTCAGCCTGCCGCCCAGGGCTGCACTCTGCACTCCTCAATCTGTAAGCCTCGCGGGCCCGCTATGCACAGGGGCTGGGTTTCTGATCCCTCAGACAGTGTCCCAGCTACCTGGGGAGTGGCTGGCTCCAGGCCACATCACCTGAGAGGAGCTTGTCCCCCTTTTGGGTCCAACAGTGAGGAGCTTTTGAATTTAACATAGCAGAAAATTACAAGAGCACCACTAACCCCCAGGCCCAGGAGGGTTTATGTGCTTCACTATGACCTACAATTCAGGGCCCTCGGTGACGTGTTCCCCGAATGATTCCTTTTTTCCTCAGTAAAGGGGACGCTCAGAGAACTGACCGGCCCCTGCGATGCTGAGGACTGAGAACTGACCTCAATGTTCAGCAGCCAGAACTGCAGGCTGGCCACAGCCTCCTCCCCCAGCGCCAGGTTCCAGACCACCACGTACAGGGCTTTGTCCGTGAAGAAGCACTGGTTGACAGTGGCCATGCTGGCAGGGCCACCGATGTCCCAGACGTTGAATTCCACGGAATCAACCTACTTGAGCAACAAGGCAGTGACAGGAAGTCATTTTAGAAACCAAGGTTTGAGTCAGTCCATTGAGATAACAGATCGCTTTGAACACTGTACTACTCAGGGGCCTTGAAAAAGGAATGAGAGTGGGAAAGCTTTGTGTGTCTTGCTGTTTGTCTTAGGGATCAGTAATACAAGTGGGGGAGGGGAGGGGGGCCAGGCCTGCAGGGCTGGACTTCTGGAGGCTTCTGTCCACTGCTAACGGAGCGGGGGCCAGGCCCTGGACGCTGCGTCCATCTGTGCCTGCAGAACATTGGAGGGCATTGTCCTGCCTCCGTCTGGGCTGCAGACGGTAAGGAGACATCCTGCCGGTGCTGACGTCAGTGCTCTCACACCGAGGCTTAACCTCCATCGGAGTGAGGCCAAGGCCAAGGCCACGGGCCTCGGAACTCGTGTAGGTCAGAGGGCGGCGCCCACCAAGGATGCAGGAAAGCTGCCCTGACCTGAGAATTAAACAAAAGCCTCGCTGTTGGGCTGCCGGGAATGGCTGTGTAAACGCTGGTTTCTCTATCGCTCTATGAGGTAAGAGTCTGGCCCGAGCAGCTACGGCTGTGGTTTTCTGCAGCCCAGAGCCGTTCCCACGATGCTGCACCCTGGCCTTGGAGACGCGGCGCGCTGACCTGCTTTTGTATAAAGATGAAAACGGACAGCTGGCCTAAACTGGCTGAAGGTCCAGCCACATGGAGAGCTAGGGGCCCAGCGTCCAAAAGTTCAGATGGTTGTCTTTCAAGGGAAAAAAGGGGGGAACTTTAATGATGACAGGAAGGAGGAGTGGGGCTGAAGAAGAAACATGGAAATAGTAATTTAGCCTCAGTCCTCGGGCAACCGTTTGGTAAAGAACAGCTGGGAGAAAGCGACATTGAATAAACTGCTTAACAAAGCAGGAGGCGATCTAGAGCTCTGGTCACTTCAGAGAACCTTTGGACATGAGTTAGCTAGACTCACACCTGGGGGCGTCTGGGGGGCGGACTGGTATTGACTGTTCTGGCCCTAACAGACAGGACTCCTGCTTCAGAGGACTCATTTGTGAGTCCGTGTGAAAATGCACGTTCGGCTTAAATGCCTCATGCCTTGAACTGGGTTTCCCTGACTTGGAAAGTGTTTTGTGTGGCACTCCAGCTGGTTGTGCTGGGGGTTACGGGAAAATCTTGCAGCCACTAGACTCCAAGGCCTCTCGGTTTTCCACTAACAGCCTCCTTGCACCTGGATCCCTGTGGCTACCTGTAATCACAAATTTGGCCACAGGTGAGGGAGGCATTATCCGCGTGTGTTCTCTGTGCTGGGAGACACAGCTCATGGCCCCGTGCTATCTGCCATCCCACCAATAGTCCATAGGCTTTTTTCTCTGACTCGATAGCAAGACAATTTTCACTTTCATTTGTCTTATCCTGAACGGGAAACAGGGTGCTAATAGGCGCACTGAAGGATTTAAGTAGCGCTTGAAAACTAGACCTCTCAGAGCTTGCGGGGAAAACAGGCATCAGGGAGCACAGTGCATTCATACTCGGGGTGCCTTCTCAGCCTCCCATTAGGGGCAGGGGCTGGTGTGTCTCAATGCCTATAGCAGTACTTCTCGGGCCCAGGGGCAGGTCCTACCTCATACCATTTGAATTGCAATCTTGGGGTTCACGGGGGTGAGGCCTGGGTACTAATGTGTTTCAAAGCTCATGAAAGAAATCTTAACAGGACGAGAAGGCTTACGAGCCACTGGCCCAGAGCCTCAATGTAGCTCTAACAGAAACCTACAAGGTCATGTTAAGAAATCACTCATCGCTCTTGGCAGGAGCTGGTTTGAAACAGCACCCAGTGGCCCCTGCAAATATCCTGGGCCTCAGGCACAGGCTGGGGAAATCCTGGGCTCTCCAGACAGGAGGGAGAAGGGGCCCCGGGAAGCTCCCTCCCTCCCACGGGGACTCCGCACGCCGACCATCCTCGACCTTGGCTTTCGAGCCAGCTGGCCTCTGGAGCTCCCACGTGGTGGTCCTGATGGTGGCCTCGCCGTGCATCGCCTGGGGGGCCCTGCCCGTCTGTAGGACCTCCAGGACGGAGGACTTGCCCTGGCGCGGGGGACCCACAATGACCATCTTCATCAGCTTACACCGCTCCGCTTTCCGCAGCTGAGCACGCAGGTAAGACAACATGGCTTTCGGGCCTATGCAAAAACCACAGAGTGGGGGGTAGACGTGAAGGGGACACGCTCATGCCTCTCGGGAAACCAAATCCTGTCTTGCACACTTGCTGTGCGTTCTATCTAACAGGGTGAGTTTAGAAGATAGTTGGGTCTGAAGGAGTGAAACTGGGATACTGATCACCCCAAAAGCTAAGTCTAAAAGTCAAGGACCTAAAGACAGCACCTTTACTGCCTATAGGGTCCTAGAGAGTTTTATCACATGATCAACTGCAACATAACAAGCACCGGCAACTATGCTTTCTGGACAATTTCACAGCATCGTCTCAGGCCCGGGAGGGGGCTGGGCTCTGCGGGTCACCCAGCTATGTCCACCCCAGCTCCTTAACCACTAGGCTTGAGTTGCCTTTCCCAGGGGGTGACGCTGAGGCAGCCCTACCTTCTTTTCTGATCTCTGCAGGCACGTTGCTGATGTTCAAGTCCTCAGTGTCCAGCTGCCAGAGGTTGCCTAGCTGCCCCAGCTCAGGAGGGAGCTCTCGGAGGCTGGAATTGCTGAGAGCACACCACACACACCATGGGGGGGGGCACACGCATGCAGCTGCCCACCCACAGCCTGCACCCCAAGCCTGATACCTTGCCACCGGACCCCTGCCACCAGCATTCGATTTCAATACTACTTTCAAAGCCTTTCTTTCTGGAACGCCAGGGATACAAATGGCACCTCAGTCTTATGCAAATCCCGGTGACCTGGAGCTAGGTCCCCACCCCGACCTTTCCTATCTCTTCTGTTAACCACACTACCCTAGAGATGATCACCACCTCTTCTCAAAAAGGCAGTGTACCCTGAATTATATTTTCATCCAGACTGGCACACTGTCTGAGTTCCATGGTGGTGCCAGGCGGTGGGTGCTCAGTAAGAGAAAGGGTGAGTGATCCGAGTTCTTCTCATCATAACCGAGCACAGTGACAGAGTCGTGCTTACATCCGCCCCTGCCATCCCCTCCCGCACCTCTTTGGCTAAGCCCAGTTCTGCAAATCTCACGGCTGCTTCTCTGTACCTAGGTGGCTTCTCCCTGCTTCCCTGCTTCCGTGCGCTCAGATGGTTTAAGAAGGACATTCTGTGTCCCCAGGGGCCACAGGACCCGTGTGCTGTGGCCGTCGTGCACTTACTTCCCCAAGTAGAGTTCTGATAAGCTTTTCAGCAGGCAAACCGAGGGAGGCACTGTGTCCAGATGATTGTCGTTCAGACACAGGACTTCTAAAGACTCGCTTAGGAAGGCCGGGAATTCCAGTACACATGCTGCAAAGAAATGGCAGAGCACACACACACTGGAGGACAATTCTGGACCAGCAGAGTGGGGAGGCCGAGTGGGCATATGGACCGGAGCGGCCTCAGAGGAAATAAGATGCTTGTGTGATCGAGCTAGGGTCTCTGATTCTAGCAGTGGTCCTACAGACGTCCTCACCCCTGGGGCACATATGTGAGAACAAGGACGCTCGGTGGCACGCTGTCTGTAATAGCCAAACTAGAAGACGGCCCAGCCATCCACCCATGGGGGAAATGGGATAATGTACACGTATGACAAAGCCTGGGGCAGGTCTGCCTGTCTGGGTGTGAAGGGACACTCAGGAGCGATTGGTGGATTGAAAAAACAAGGTGTGGAATCGAGGTATCTCGAAGGCTTAGTTAATGGACCTCAAAACGTGTTCAGACATGTGAGCAAACACATACCCCATGCATTTATGTGCATATGTCATATGCATGTGTGCACACAGCACACACATATGCTATATGATATCTGCATGTATGCATGCCACACACAAACACCTGTATGCATGTTATATGTTGTTACAGCCATGTGTACATACACCACACATATGTATGTGTTATGTGATGTTACAAGCATGTGTACACACATCACACACATGCATGTATATGTTATACATGTATGTTAGATGCAAACATAATTGTTACCAGAGACACATGAAATTCCATAGTTGTCTCTGGGGAAGAAAATTATTAGGAGACTATTTATTCCATGCCCTTTGCTACTGTTCAAAAAAAAAAATTTTTTTTTTTTTTTTTACCATTGTACAGGTATTACTTCTTCAATTAAAAAAAACCTAGTTAACTAAAAACGTATCATTTGGGCTCAGTTTTTATGCTCCCGAAGATGGCATTCCCTGAAAAACAAGCCAACTCTCTAGCATTGAAGTGAGTTCATTAATTAGGCTAATGATGAGATTACCATTAAAATCACGTCGAATCTGCTGTTTCCAGGGGCACCCAGTGTGTGCGCTGACAAAGAATGTGGCAGAGAGCCTGGAAACGCACACCGATGGGAATCAGAGGTTTGGGTTTCAGCAGATTCTCTGACATGCCTGTCCTCCCTCCTGAGGCAGGGAGGGGGGACAGGACAGCCCCCCACCCCCGGGGGGCCCTTTCAGCTTGGAGAATTCAAGATAAAACTGCCTCACAGCCCCCTCGCCTGGTTCTCTGCCAGACAAACAAGATAGAAAAGCCAGGATCTTTTGTGGGGCTGGAAGGATTCTCCCCTTTGCTCTGGCTTTTCTCCATGCATGGAGCTGCAGTGTCAATGGTACTGGGGTAACCTGGCATCAGAGAATGTTCAGGAATGGAGAGGCGATAACGGAATACCAAAATCGGCCCCTGGGAAACCTGCCTCGTTAGTCACAATGTTGAACGGGACTCCAGGCAGTGGCCCCCGTGGACATAAAGGTGTGACAGACTCGGCAAGATGGCTTTGTACTAGACCTTGTCTCTTAGGAAAACGTTCAAAAAGGCTTCTTCTTTTTTTTTTTTTTTTTCAATGAAAAACAAAGATCAACTTGGGCCTGCCCTCATTCACACTGGAAGAAGATCAGTAGTAAGAAACGTGCACTTTTTTTCCCGGAGAACCCGCTCCGAATACCTGGCCTGGAGCGTTCCAAAGTCAAATTTCATCTTGGTGTTTGTTCAGCCTTTTTAAGTAAACAGATGGATGGAACAAGGAACGACTTCTGCGGACAGAGGCAGCACCTGTCACTTAGTTCCCACAGGGTGGGAACTGTGAAAAAGGCTGGGAGAGCCCAGCTTGAGGCATCTATGCACTGTGAGTATTTATTCATAAGTTATTTATGACGCTGCTGGTCTGAATTTTACGGTAAAAACAGCCATTCAAATTATTTTTGGACGAGGCCACTGCACAAATATGACTACTTGAATGTACATCAATTTACTTTTCATTTGTAAACAAGTTATCTTTTATAGATAATTCCTCACCCAAGGGTCACCAGCCCTGAGAGAATAACCCTACTGAGGAAAGGGGTTCGCCATAGGCCTCCTGCTTTTCACCCAGGTGTGGCCTCAACTTTCTAGACGAAAATAAAAAAAATCAAGGGGACTTCATCATGAGCCAACTCCACCATCCACCTCTGCCAGAAGCACTTCCAAGGGGTGTGGCCTCCTCACCTAGCTCTCTACACAAGCTCCTGCTGGCCACCGGCTGTCACTTCCCAGAAGGCTGATGCGTGTCCCCAGGGTGCTTTTCACTGTGTGCCTTTGGCCTTGCGCTCTGGTGGCTTCACCAGGGAGTGGCTGGTCCTAAGTGTTGGGCCCACTATCTCGCACACTTCTGTGCACAGTCTGTATTTTTAAACTGGAGACACCCTGCTAGTAAGAGACTCAACCCACAGCGATGGAAGCAGGACTGAGACCAGCAGCGTTTTTCCTGCCCGTCCGTCATCCATTTTTGCATTCATGAGAGCAAACAAAGTGTTTCTCTTTCCTTCCAAGTGAAATCGTTACATCTGGACTCAATTGCCAAAGTCCTAAGGCCCTTCGTTTATTGTCTTTTTATTATTTAAAACATTTTTTATTTAATGTATTGGGATGACACTTGCTAGTAAAATTATACAGGTTTCAAGTGTACAATTCTGTAATACATCATCTATAAATCACATTGTGTGCTCACCACCCAGAGTCAGTTGTCCTTCCATAACCATATATTTGATCCCCTTTACCCTCTTCTACCACGCCTCTAACCCCTTACTCTCTGGTTACCACTAAACTATTGTCTGTGTCTGTGAGTTTTTGTTTCTTTGTCTTGTTCATTTGAGGCCCTTAGTTTTAAAAAGGATCCCTTAGGCGATCCCTATGTGTTGGTGTTGTTAAGGACTTTTCATTTCTGCCTGGGACATCTGGACTTTCTTTTCTGCAAACTGTTTATGTCCATTGCCCATTTTTTGCCTGTTGGGTTGTTATTGTTGTTGTTGTTGTTTTAAATCAATCTGTAAGCAGTTTTTATATATAGGGACGTAAGCCAATTGATGTTGCAACTATTTTTTCTCAGTCTGTTTTTACAAAGCCCAAGATTTTGGTCTTTTTTTTTTTAACGATTTCTGGATTTCCTACCTAGCTTTTACAGCCCCAATTATACAGATATTCTCTTAAATGGTATTGTTTTCTTTTTCTTTTATACTTAAATCTGAAATCCACATGGTAATTATTTATTTAGATTTATTTATTTTTGGAACTGACGTAAGGTCGGGAATCTAGCATTGTGCTTCCCCCGCTTCCATCTGGGTAAGCAGTTATACCAACATGACTTACTGAAGCAAAACAAACATTCTTTTCCCATGAAACTGAAATGCCACCATTGTCATATATTAAATTCCCATATTGACTGAGGTCTATTTTTGGATGCTTATCTGTTTCACTGATGATGTTACATTTTCAATCATACGTCAACAGGCTCATGCATGACTGATTTATGCGTATCCCACGTACATATACATGCACATGGGTTCACCCAAAGGTACAGCAGGTGGACACACTGTTCACCTCCTACAAATGTGTCTCGGCCTCTGTGGTATGTCTTATCCATACCTCACACCATCTGTAGTTAACCCTTGCCGACATAGATTTATAACAAGGAAGTTATACTACATTTAAAGTGACCTACATATCAGTGCCCGTTCTACAGGACAGCCTCCTGAGGGGTATTTCTGTGAGCATCACTGGCTTTACAGGGCTTAGCGTTCAGGCTCAAAAGCAGAGCTGGTTGTTTAATGTGAGGGACAGGTCCCCATGTCCCCACTGCACCTCACAGAAGATAATTAACAGGGAGAGCCTGTTTCCTAGAAAGATTCTCTGCTGAACTGGCCTTGTTGAGTGATCAGTGCAAGCATTTTAGGGGAAGTCCTGTTTCTGATGAGTTTGGGGGGAGACCCCAAGCCCCTCTGTAATGCAGCCTAGCCAGGACGGCCTGTGGGGCCGAGGGTGGCTGTGTCCCCACGTGGACGTCAGCCCACAGTGCTGGGCTGAAACCTGGCGCTGCCACCCAGCAGCCAGGTGACCACATGAGTTCACACCCATGCCCCAGACTAAACTGTGCCTCCTCATCTCCATATTTGAAGCCCTTACCACAACGTGATGGCATTAGGAGGTGGACCTGTGGGAGCTCACTGGAGTCAGGTGAGGTCATGAGGGTGGGCCCCACGATGGGATTAGTGTCCTTAGAAAAAGGGACACCAGAGAGCTTATGTACATGTGCTCACGCTCTGTTAGGTGAGCACACAGTAAGAAGGCAGCCGTCCCCAAGCCAGGGAGAGGGTTCTCAGCAGAACCGACCATGCCAGCATGGTCACACGTCCAGCCTTCAGAACTGTGAGAAATACCTTTGTGTTGTTTTTAAGCCACTCAGTCGGTGGCGCTTTGTTATGGAAGCCCGAATTGACTGAAACACTCTGGGAGTTTCAATTTCCTCATCTGCAAAACGGGAAACCATCATCCGCGCCTCACGTTGTGAGGCCGCGCACACATAGGGCAGTCAGTGTCCCCACACACAGGGCAGTGTCCCCACACACAGGGCGTCCACACACAGGAGCCACCAGTCTCATCAGACTGGTGAGGGAAAGGGGTTTCGGGATACTTGCAGGCCACACGTGTCACACAAGCAAAGGGCACAGTTCATGGCCAGGTTTTTTCAGTCAAACGTGGGCATCTCTGGCACTCCCACAGGGTTCTGCGGGGAAAGTCCTAGGGAAGCGCGATTCGATTCCGCCTGGGGTGGAGCGGGGAACAGCGAGCTCAGCATCTCCAGCCCCACACACTCACCTGTCTCGGTCCCTGAGCGCTGGCGCCCTCTGGTGGTGAAAAAGGAAATACGCTTTGTTTTAAGTCCGTCTTCATTTCTGCAGGGTGAGAAAAAAGTCACAATTTGAGGAAAGCGAGACAAAGACCTTACTATCTGAGCTGTGGCTGTATAAGGCCAGAGCAGGTACAGAGGACGGGAGCGCCTCATCAGCAGAGTGTGGGGTCCCCTGCAGCTGACGTGTAAGCGTCAGCAGCCATTGCCTGCTAATGGTTCCCTTGTGCTCAGAAGCCTTTGGGGGGGGGGGGGGAAATGTCCAGAGAATAAGATTTAAGGCAAGCCTGACAGGTGGTTTCCCTCGGGCAGGTGTGGGCATGTCTGTGCCTGGCAGGAATGCCCATTCCAGCGGCTGTTACCTTCTAGGCTGCACCTGGGAGCTCTTTGGGGTGTCAGCTCTGCTGACATTCCATGGAGGGGCCTTCAAGCGAGCCAGGGAGGCTGGTCTCCAGAGTCGCCAGGGCCAGCTGAGCTCATCCCCAGATTTTTACCTTTCATGAACACACCTTGGGGAGGGGGTACTTTTTAAAGTTAGAAATGGGACGAAACTCTTATGGGCTGAGCTGTCTCTCCTCCTCCAAATTCGTATGTTGACATCCTAACTCCCAGGACCTCAGAATGTGACTGTATCTGGGGATGGGTCTTTATAGAGGTGATTAAGTGAACATGAGGTAATAGGTGGCCCCTAATCCAACCTGACTGGTGTCCTTATAAGAGAAGCGTAGGACAGAGACACACACAGAGGGACGACCATGTGAGGACAGAGAGAGAAGGTGACCATGCACACGATAAGGGGAGACACCTCAGGAGACCCCAACCCTACCGACACCTTGCTCTTGGATTTCCAGCCTCCAGGACTCTGAGGCATTAAACGTCTGTTGTTTAAGCTGCCAGCCTGTCGCACTTGGTCACGGCCACCCCAACACACAGAGGCCAGCTTGACTGCGTTACACACACACACACACACACACATTCTAGAACCTGCCAGGTTTCACTTACTTGCCAAATTGGTTTCTGGAGAGATCCAGGGTTTTGAGTTGTCTGCAGGTCCACTTCTCTTGAGGTGGCAGTGCCATCAGCTGGTTTCCCTGTAACCTCAAGAACGTGAGAGCCTGGGACAGAGAGAGGGAGAGAAAGGCAAAGGTGCCGTGACCAGTATCGACATTCAAAAGGGCCAAAAGGAAGGGTTTGACAAAGTGCAGCCAAACGACTAGAACCAATTCACTCTCACCAGGATTTCAATCGTGTGGGCTCAAGTGTCTCTTAAAACTCACACAATTATACCAAGCAGACACGACACTTCTAGAAGGTCCTTCCCTCCAGATCAATGGGAAGCAATTATTCCAGAATGAAAGGAGCCCACGTCCTTCTCAGAGCTGAGGCTTCATAACAGTGACAATTGTTTGTGGGCCTGTCCTCCTGGGAACAGCGGCCAACTCTGCAAGTCCTTGAGGCCATAGCATCACCATGGGAGGGGGCACAGTGTGAGGCCTCCTTGGGCCGGCCTGGTGACATTCCGGAAAGGGGCAGGGTGGCAGCCATGACATTGAGGGTGACCTGCCCCCATTGTACACTCTCTGTACCACCTGTGGCCGGTGGTACCCTTGCTGACTGCCTGGCCCAACATCCGCCTACCACACGCAGGCAACCATCACTGAGAGGAAAATGCGCTATCCTTGGACTTGTAATGTGTTTCACTTTAATGAGAGTGCCAGGGAAGAGGGGGACCCTTTCTTGAGGCCATCACCAGGGACACAGACTATCCTGTCCATAGTGGGGGTGAGAGCTCAGGAGGGGCCCCCCTTTAAACTCCTTACCCCACACTCTGTCCCCTCCTTTGTGTAAGGAGGTCCACACCACTCCCCACCATCAGAACCAGGGTGGCCTCCTGCCACCAGCCTATCCACCGACTGAATGTCTACCCGAGGCTGGTGTGGGGTCACGCAGCCTCCCAGCCCCCCATCTAGAGGAGGGACACGAGTTCCCACAGGGCTGACTGGTGAGGTCCCCAAGTTCTCTCTGATTTGCTGCTTCTGGCTGTGTGGGAACCAGAAAACCAAGCCAGCTAGTTGTTGGCATGAGGTAAGAGGAAACAGACCCAGAACATGGGACCAGCCGAGAGGTTCTCCCCCAGGGACAGAGGTCTGGTGGTGAATGTGAGCTGATGATGTCCAGGGTCCTCTGCAGGTACCAGTGACGTGTGTCCTCACCCACCAGCCCTCCCCTCGCAGTGGATGCACCCCAGGCCCTTTCTTTGCTCATATTTGCCCAGGCGTCTATGATGTGATGACCCTCATCCTTGAGAACATGCAAGCGACAGGGGCCTTTGTTGCCTTTTAGGGGTCCCTGAACATGGGGGGAGCTGCACAGGCCTCAAAGGAGAGCTTGTAGGTGCCCGTGTGCGTGGCTGGCATGGCAGCACGGGGGCCGAGGCCTGAGCACTCCGCCTGGATGCTTTAATGCCTTCAGCAAACACGTATCAGGTATATCCTGGGGCTAGCCCTGGGCAGCAAGGCCAAGTGATGTCTATGACCCATGCTCTGCCTTTACAAGTTCACATCCAAGTGCAGAGGGCAGGGGATGGGGAGGTGGGTGGGGGAGGGGGAGGTTGCTGCAACAATCTAAATGATAAAGAAGGGGGCCAGCCGAGTGGCTCAGTTTGTTAAGAGCACAGCTCTGAGCAACAGGGTCATCTGTTCGATTCCCACATGGGCCAGTGAGCTGCACTTGAGCTGAGCTGCCGCTGAGTTGCCAACAGGTGGCAAGATGGCTCAGCCGGTGAGAGCACGTGCTCCTAACAACAAGGTTGCCGGTTTGACTCCCACATGGGAATGGTGGGCTGCACCCACCTGCAACTAAGATTGAACACGGCACCTTGAGCTGAGTGGGCCGTGAGCTGGTGACAGGTGGCCGGATGGTGACTGGACTTGGAGCTGAGCTAGCTGCGCCCTCCTCAACTAAGATTGAAGAACAACTTGGCTGTTTCCCTTCTCCAATTCCCCAACACTGTTCCCCTTCCCCAATTCCCCAATAAAATCTTTAAAAAAAGAAAGAACGAAAGAAAGGAAGAAAGAAAGGAAGAAAGAAAGGAAGAAAGAAAAAGAAAAAGCAGCCCTGTGCTGCTGGTAGGGAGGGGTAGGGGGACATTCAGGGCTCTGGGAAAAGGCACTTTCCTGAATTCATGTCCAAAGGAGCTTCCAACCCATAGGAATTCCAGTACTGCCACCTCTGGGGATGGAAGCAGGGACAAGAAGCCCCTGAACTGCAGTGTTCCCTTGG